CAAAAAAAAAAAATGCAATCCCAATGGAAAAAAAATTGATATTGTTGATTCTGTTGTATGGTTGTGGGCATGCAGAATTTCTTCTCCCACCCCCCTCCATCTTGGCTTTTTTTTTTTTTTTTTTTTCCGCTTTACCAACCTCTGGGCTTGATTTTAAGTTTACTCTTTCTCTTCTTATCTCTCATGGCATAGTAACTTTTTTATTCTCTCCAAAAACTTGGAGCTTCAAGAAACCCTCCCCATGTTCATCCAACTTCCCCTTGTGAAAATTCTTTGTACAAAATGGACAGGGGGATGGGGGGCTAGGGATGTAGCTCAGTGGTAAAGTACTTGACCAGTATGTGGGAGGCACTGGGTTCGATTCTCAGCACCACATAAAAATAAATAAAGGTATTGTGTCCACCTATAACTAAGAAATTAAAACAAAAACAAAAACCAAAAAATTAACTTGGATCCGTCACAGCCCACTTGAGTGGGGTCGAGGGACCGTGGGAAAGAAGAGTAAATACTCAGTTCTCCAATGCCAGCTCCAGGAACTCTCTCACAGAACCAACCCCCCAAAACAGCTTGCCCTATCTTAAGACTATTTTAAGAATGGGATCCTAATTAGGATAAGTTATACTCCATGTATGTATCATAAGTGAAAATACACTCTACTGTCATGTCTACCTAAAAAGAACAAATTTTTTAAAAAGACTGTTTTTACTTAGGAACTGATGACAGAACTGCCAACTCTGAACTCGAGACTCACTTTGAATTGTCATGACACCAGTCAGGGCTTGCCAGATCCCTCAAGCAACAAAAGTGCTGGTGGAGCTTTCGTTCCCAACAACTTGTGCAGACTTCTCTGTCCCGATAAAGCCCTCAACCTCTCCTTTGCTCTCCTTGTATCCCAGAGGCCACCCTGGCCTGTCCGTGTGTGTCCTGGATTTCAATCCTAGTCTTTATTCCCAAATAAAAGTTCCTTTGCTGGAGACGCCTGTGTACATTTCTTGTTTGACTTTGACGCTCTCTAGAAACCTCCCAAAGTCTAGTTCCCATAACTGGTTACCTCTTAAGGCAGAAGAAACAGAGCTCACACCCCATAAGAGGTCCTCACAACTGTGTCCTTCTTCCTGGCCTCCTGCCCTGTCCCTTCCACTATTAGGCCCCTCCTCACAGACTGTTTGAGGCTCCGTGAACTAAAGAGATTTGTGAGTAAGTGACCTTTAACCCAATGAGAATCCTCCACCCACAATCTGGGCTAATCTTCTTAGGTGTTAATATTTAGCATTACCTTGTACTACTCAGCTCCCTGAACCCTACTCAGCAAAACTTTTTAAAACGCTTCCTCATTTCTTCTCCCTACTTTTTGTCTCAGTGGCTATTGTTTTGAGCTGGGGTTTCACTATGTTGCCCAGACTGGCCTTGCACTCCTGGGTTTAAGTGATCCTTCTGCCTCAGCCTCCCACACATAGCCAGGACTACAGTCCCTGCCATTAAGCCTGGCTCCCCTAGTCTTTTAATAGGAATTTCTGGTGTAGCAAAGGGCTAGTGGAGATGACTATTCCTCTGAAAACCAAGCATTTGGTGACAGACGCAAGAATGATTTCTCAGAGTTGCTATCAACCACACCGTAATTTGCACATTATTAAAAATCTGTAATAAATGTACCAGTGAAGAAGGTGATCAGTGCTTTTGAAGCTTGGAAGAGCAGATTCTGGTTCTGCAGGTCCAGGGTGGTATCTCAGCTTCTGCATGTCTACGGAAGCTCCCAGGAGACATTACTACCACTGCTCCTGCTGCTGCTGCTGCTGCTGCTGCTGCTGCTATTGCTGGTGTAGGAGCCATGGTCAGAGTGTTATTTATGGTTCTCCAGAAAAACAGAACCAACAGGACATGGACACATATACACACACACACACACACACATACACACACACACACTGGCCAAGTTATTATATAGTTGTGTATAGATATTTATTATGAAAATTGGCTCATAAATTATGAAAACCAAAAAAAAAAAAAGCCCCACAATCTTCTACTGTCAGAAAAGGTTAATGTTGTAATTCAGTCTGAGTCTGAAGTCCCCAAAACCAGGCACTCTGACGTCTGAGGACAGGAGATGGATGACTCAGATCAAGGAGAGAGAGATTTTGTCTTTCTTCTACCCTTTGGTTCTATTCTGATCCTCAGTGGATTGTCTAATGTCTGCCTACGTTTGTGGGGTGGATCTTCTTTATTTGATTTACTGACCCAAATATCTTCTGGAAACACCCTCCCAAACACATTCAGAAATAGGGTTTCATCAGCCATCGGGACATCCCTGAGCCCAGTTAAGCAGACACACAAAAATCAGCCGTCACACTTAGCAAGGAAATGCTATTAAGTAGAATGGGAAGGAAACGACAGGCGAAGGACATCCTCCGGCAGCTCACAGCCAGCAGACATCTCTGTTTTGCCAGGCATCCCTGAACAGTCAAGAGCCTGGATGTGGGGTCAGAGAGAGCTGTGTCCAACTCTGCTTTCCATTTACTGTGTGGTCTCTGCCAAGTCATTTAACTTGTCTGTGACCCAGTTTCCACATGTAAAAACGGGGGTGGAGATCATATCTGCTTCACTGAACTGTCAAGGAGATTTTATGCCACCGTGAGTCTGATGGCTTAGCAGAGTATCTGGTACCGAGTTGGCCTCTAAAAGCAGCGCAGAGCCTTGCTATTGCAGGGACGGAATCCAGAGACTAAGCAGACTACGCAAGATTCAGCTAAGCAGGGGTCTGCTGGCTTCAGCTTTTCCATACTCCTAGTGAGGATGTGGCTGTGTTTTCACAGTTCCAGATTTAATAACAGCCATGTCTGTGGAGGTGCTCCCCGTGTTCTCTGATTAAATGGACATACTTGAGTCGCCCCAGGCAAAATGAGGTCATGCATCAGAAGCGTGAAAAGAAAGCTTCTTTCTCATTCCCTGACACACCCTCTGATGTTGAGGTGTCTTTCACCAGTTTTGTTTTCTGTTTTTAAATTCATGTGACACCGTTGCCACAGATTCTTCTCAAATAGCAGAAAAAAGAAAACATTGCAGAGTTCTTATGAATTTTCTTCTCCTACACACATACACACACACACACACACACACACACACACACGGCTATTCTATGGGTCCCTATACTCCCTTCCTAAGCTTCTGGCTTTTCCAGACCTCCTAATTAAACTGCAATACCTGCATATCCTTTTAAAGGATTTATTCTGGGCCAGGTATGGTGATATGATACTTGCCTGTAATTTTCAGAAACTCTAGAGGCTGAGGCAGGAGGATCACAGGTTCCAAGTCAGCCTGAACAACTTAGCAAGATCCTGTCTCAAAATAAAATAAAAAGGGCTGAGAATATAATTCAGTGGTACAGCGCCCCTGGGTTCAATCCCCTAAACCACTAATTAATTAATTAATTAAGGATTTACTCTGTTTTGCTTGAACTCTTAAACCACTTGAAAAAAAACTACAGCTGGGTGCGGTGGCACACGCCTGTAATCCCAGTGGCTCCAGAGGCTGAGAAGAAGGATCCCGAGTTCAAAGCCAGCCTCAGCAAAAGTGAGGCGCTAAGCAACTCAGTGAGACCCTGTCTCTAAATAAAATACAAAATAGGGTTGGGGAGGCTCAGCAGTAGGGTGCTTGCCTGGCATGTGCGGGACCCTGGGTTCGATCCTCAGCACCCAATAAAAATAAATAAAATAAAGTGAAATAAAGGTATTTAGTGCAACTACAACTAAAAATAAATATCTTTAAAAAATAGGGCTGGGGATGTGGCTCAGTGACCGAAGTTACTCCCCCTCTCCCCCCAAAAAAATACAGATAGCTCTGCCGACAACCAGAAAACAGAACTTTCCAAACTTTTTCTCTGGGCTTCTGCCTGTTTTGATTCTTACAAGTTACACCCACATGTTGTTTAAATTTTACTGATGATTCAGCAGAAGCTGCCACCAGCAAAACCAGTTGTTTTAATGGCTGAGAACACCCTTGCTGCTGGCCTGATTTTCTGTGATGATGGCAACAACCTGATTCCTGGAGGTAAAACTCTACTCTCTCAAGATGCTTGGGAAGAACTGTAGCGACAGCACATATAACTAATTCATTAACTTAGATCCTCAAATTTACTTCTTATAGACTGGTTCATTTTAGTTGTATAAAAAAGAACTATGTCTTGAGCAAAGTCCTCCTTCTTTTCGTTTTGCAAAATGAAGGAAAATTCCCAAGTTGCAATTGCTCCAATTCTTAACCTAAAAGACCCCAATTGGGCAATTTGGGAAGTACAAAGTATAGCACTGCTAAGAAATTAAAGCAAAGGGCTGGTGCTGTAGCCCAGTGGCAGAGCATTGCCTAGCATGTGTGAGGCACTGAGTTCAATCCTTTGCACCACATAAAAATGAAACAAATAAAATAAAGGCATGCTGTCCACCTACAACTACCAAAAAAAAAAAAAAGGAAATAAATTAAGTAATGATTATAGTGATGGGGGAAATCAAAGCTGATGCCCAAATAGTTCATTTCATTAGCTCAGAATGTGGATTTACCAACCTGGTACGAATTTCAGAGGTGTCCTAAATTTCATTTTGTTTGTTTTTGTTTTTTAGGGTTTCACTTACTCCTTTGTTTTATTTTTTACCTTAAAACTACTTAACACTAATTAGTATATTGAATGTTTTATATTTCTAAAACAAACGTATGCCATGAGATAAATGAGCTGAGGAGAAAATTTGATAAAGAAACAAATATAAACAGAAGCAGGAAAAGTGGAAGTTTGGTCTTTCTGCAGAGTCCACATACTCAGGCAACGTTGAAATTCAGCACAATGGGGATAGAAAAGGAAGACATTATTTCACTGGATTCTTGGAGGCCTTCATTCTCAATTGAAAGCTCCCAAGAAGTCCTCCAAATTCCAATTTTTTATGATCCCTTAGATCAATTTGTTAAAGGACGTAAATGTTAATCATTAATGTCTGATTATTTATCTTGTTTTCTTTAAGCATTACCTGTTTCCATGGGCATAAGAAGAGTCTCTGGCTGGGATATCATGGAAGAAGTTTCTGAACTGGTAGACTTCTGACAAGATTAACGACCCCCAGGTTTTCTCCTAATTTCAAGATTCAACAAAAGCTTTGGCTCTAGAATGTTCTTGGGTTGCTTTTGTTTTGTTTTGTTTTAATTCCACAGCCTTTGGCATTCCAGTTCAGAGGACAGCCCTGGGTATGTCTGATAATCTCCATTCCTTTCATTTTATCAACTCTTAACAAAAGCTACTAGGCTCAGGCCAAAGGGGTGTTTTGACATGAGCAATGCTTCTCAGGAAAAGAAGTGCCCAAATTTTTATCCTATTATTTGAGTGAAAGTTCTAAGTCCTTCCCTGATGTTCCCTGGAATTGTGATTTAATGACTAGTCACACCAGAACGGAACACATGTTTCTACTTGCAAGATTATTAAGTACATTACACAGTTTCATTATTGCCTTCCTGAGTCACCCTGCATGTACCAGTGTCTACGTAGATTGCTTTTCAAAGGGTTTAATAGAGAAAAGTGTTAGAATAGGTGTAATTAAATTCACTTATTTTTACTTTAGCTTTTAATTATTTTTAATGTATTGACCACAGAGTAAGGAGAAAGTATAGTAAAGAAAAAACAATATCAGCACTTAATGTGGAAGGTTATTGTTATTGTTTTACTAATAGAATTTTGAGTTACATAAGTGAACCGCATACAGCACCAATCAACAATTTTCTCTAACAGGGATTCTTACTTTTTGAAGTATTTAGCTTTAGAAAAGTATCTGTTTCAATAAGAATGATTCCCCGGGCTGAGGCTATGGCTCGGTGGTAGAATGCTTGTCTAGCATGTGTGAGGCACTGGGTTCGATTCTAAGCACCACATATAAATAAATAAAGGTTCATCAACAACTAATAAAATATTTTTAAAAAAGAATTATTCCCATAAAAATTCTATGTGTTCTAGAATTTTATATTGAAAGCTCCTCTTAGGCAATCCCAATAAGTAGACTGGAAATTAATATAATTTTGACATTCAACTTCTAAGAATTTAAAACATCTCTAAGATGATGTATAATCAATCAACAAATACATGAAAAAATGTTAATCATCACTAGCAATTAGAGAAAGGCAAATCAAAACCACTGTAAGATTTCATCTCACTCTAGTCAGAATGGCAGCTATTATGCCAACGACAAAAGTGTTGGCAAGGATGGGGGAAAAAGTACACTCACACACTGCTGGTGGGACTGCAAATTGGTGCAGCCAATATGGAAAGCAGTATGAAGATTTCTTGGAAAATTGGGAATGGAACCACCATGTGACCCAGCTATTCCTCTTCTCAGTCTATGCCCAAAGGACTTAAAAACAGCATACTACAGGCACACAGCCACATCAATGTTTATAGCAGCACAATTCACAATAGCTAAACTGTGGAAGCAACCTAGATGCCCTTCAGTAGATGAATGGATAAAAAAATATGGCATATATACACAGTGGAATATTAGTCAGTAATAAAAGAGAATAAAATCATGGCACTTGCAGGTAAATGGATGGAATTAGAGAAGATAATGCTAAGTGAAGTTAGCCAATCCCAAAAAACTAAATGCTAAATGTTTTCTATCATTATATCATATATATATATATATATATTATATATATTATATAGGGAGCAGGAGCACAGGAGGAATAGACCAACTCTAGATAGGCAGAAGGGTTGGGGGAAAGGGAGGGAGCATGGGGTTATTAATGATGGCAGAATGGGATGATCATTATTATCCAACGTACAGGTATGAAGACACAAATTAGTGTGAATATACCAGTTTGGTTTCACTTACTCCTTTGTTTTATTTTTTGCCTTAAAGCTACTTAACACTAATTAGTATATTGAATGTTTTATATTTCTAAAACAAACGTATGCCGTGAGAGAAATGAGCTGAGGAGAAAATTTGATAAAGAAATACGAAAAATTGTGCTCTATATGTGTAATAAGAATGGTAATGCATTCCACTGTCATATATAAATAATAAATAAATAAATAATGAAAATAAAATGTCTCTAATTCTAGCCCTGAAACCAGATTACTCCAGTGGAAAAAAAAATCCTCAAAAAAAAATTCTATTACACATCTTAAGATTAAAATAAAAACACATGTACATGGTAAAAAGAGATCAGAAAGAGATAAAATAAAGCATAAGACACTTCCTCTACCCTCTCTCTCAGTCTTTCTCCCCAAAGGAACTGAGTTTCTTCTCTATACTTTTGAAATATGGGGAGCAGAGTCAGTTAAGGTCCTTGACATCAAGGGGACAACACCCTAGTGGAAGAGCAATTATTAAGGAAGTGATCAGACAAGCAATGATACCATTGCAATGTGGCAACTGTCTACAAAGGAAATATTATGGTTTGAATTTTAAATGCTCCCACAAAGATCCATGTGTTGAAGCTTGGACACCAGCAGATGGCGCTGCTGGGAAGTGGTGGGATCTTTAGGAGGTGTGGCCTAGTGGTAGGAAGTTAGGTCATTGGGGATGTGCCCTTAAAGGGGAGATAATAGGACCTTGGCCCCTTCTTCTGTCTTTCAGCTTCCCAGCCACCATCAAGTAAACCAGAGTACTCTACCATTTGCTTCTGCCATGATGGGGCCAACCAACCATGAACCCTTAAAACCATGAACCAAAATAAATCTTTCTTCATTATAAGTTGATTTTTCTCAGGTATTTTGTTACACTAATGGAAAGCTGACTAACACAGGAAAGTTATAAGATGCTATGAGATCCTATAGCTAGGATGCCTGACCAGCAGGTGAGGAGCATAAAAAGGTTTCCAAATTTAAGTCACACTGGGGTTGAAAGCCAAAGGCAAGAGAAGAATAAAGTAGGTCAAGAGGATCAGGTAGGGTGAATGATATTTCATGATGAAAATGGCATGTACAAAGGCCACATGGTGGAAGGTTGGCACATATGAAAGACTGAAAGAGAGAAAAGAGGTCCTGGGGAGAAATAAGGTCAAGAGGTAGATAGAGCCAGAACATGAAAAGATTTACAAACCATGTCAAAGTTGTGCTTCTAAGAGCAACAGAATGACTGAACAATACCTAACATCCATTTTATCCTTTAGTGTGACTATAAAGACTGGAAAACTAAAAACTGTATTCTCAGACACAATTGCAGCTAGGGAATTGGATGCAATCAAAGTGCAGGCAGTCAGATTCACTCACATGAGATCTGGAAGGTGATGATGAGGCAAAGTCAGGTCTAACTGTTTCTGCAGTTTCTGTAGCTGAGTATGGTCAGGAGAATGACTAGAAAGTGCTCTGGTGTCCATAGGTCTAGTGGTCTAACAGGATGCAGAGTCTTAAAATTCAATTTATTTATTTTAGCTATGCAGAGCTAGGAGGACCAGCATCACTCTGGAGCCAACAAATGTGGCAGTAGCAACACCCTCATACTTGGGCTGCTTCTAAGGTAAGTTATGAGCCCACAATTCCAGGGGCAGCTCCCTGTTTCCCCCCTTTGTGATGGAGATAACTGTTCCCTTAGTAAATCAATCCTATCATGTTCTTAGAGTCATTTCTGGAGATGCCATCTAGCACCTATTCCCCATGTCTCCTGATAAACTTTTAAACACTGAATTCCCTGTATTGAATCATATTTTGCTTAAAAGAGTCATAGTTAAAAGTTTTCTGATCTCCAATTACTCAGTCATATCCTTTTTAGTAATCTCCTTCTATAATTTGATCCACGATCACACATCTTAGTCTCTTTTAATCTGTAACAATTCCTCAGTTACTTTTATTTTTAAAATCTTTTATGACCTTAACATTTTTGAAATATACAGGCCAGTTGTCTTGTTCCTTGTCAAAAGGAACACAGTCTTAATACTATCAATCTACTGTCTTTATTTTCTCATTTTCAACCCCATGTATGGACCTGAATCATATGAATTATACCATGTACTCTTCTGTTTCCTCCACAGAGCTGTTTATTAAGGCAGCAAATATGTAATGGCTGTCTAATCCATTCCAGGCACTGTGTTAGGTGCAGAAGACTGTGAGCAAAACAGACAAATAGTGCTCGGTTACAGATGTTAATATAAGCACTTTAACCAAGGGTCTTTGTGCTATAAAAAATGAGAAGCTAGCCGGGCATGGTGGCACAAACCTGTAATCCCACTGGCTCAGGAGGCTGAAGCAGGAGGATGGCAAGTTCAAAGCCAGCCTCAGCAAAAGTGAGGTGCTAAGCAACTCACTGAGACCCTGTCTCTAAATAAAATATAAAATAGGGCTGGGGTTGTGGCTCAGTGGTCGAGTGCCCCTGAGTTCAATTCCCAGTACCTCCTCCCTTGCAAAATGAGAAGCTACTCTTGAAAATACAAACAAAAATAGAAATTTATTGGAAAGCTACAACTGGAAGAGGTAAACACCCAAGCCCAAGATAGAGCAGGATCAAGCATTTGTGAACTTTTTAGGATGATAATGCCATTCTGGTGACTCAGCCTCAACAAGTCCCAACTACTGTGTCCCATACACAATTCATGTCTAAAGTTACTGGGGAAGAGAACCTCATCAGCCTGAGATGAAGAATCTATTCCTGCCTCATCCAATTAACTATAGCTAGAGTAGCAGGTTCCTGTGGCTCAAATACGCCCGAGGGGAGCCTGCCCCTATATATCTGAGTCTTCCCAGAAACTATGCAATTTTGGTGAAGGGACCATAGTGGACACTCCAGCTAGTTTCTACATTTTACAGTTCTAACACTTACAATAGGTTCAGTTTTGATATTGGAAATTCTTACATGACTGGAGGTATAGCTCAGTAGTAGAATGCTTTCCTAGCATGCATGAGGCCCTTGGTTCAATCTCCAGCCCCACCAAAAAGAGAGAGAGAGAGAGAGAGAATAAAATTAATACTCGCTATGGCACGGGCACTGACTATTCAAAATAAATGATGGCAGTATCCCGGGGACAGGCTCTAGGAGAACACTTGCTAGGCCAGGCATTAACGTTTTTGTTTGTTTGTTTTGTTTCTGAGACAAGATCTTGCTCAGTTGCTTAGGGCCTCGCTAAATTGCTGAAGCTGGCTTTGAACTTGTGAACCTCCTGCTTCAGCCTCCCAAGCCCCTGGGATAACAGGCCTGTGCCACTATGCCTAGCTTCATTAACCCTTTAACTATTACATCATGAGATTGGGGGAATCCCGTAGAGAGGCTGAGAAGATATGGAGTTTGGGGGAATTTTCCTATAAGCTCAGGTGCCCTAGAGGGAAACTCTCAGATGAATATTCATGCAGAAGTGGTTTATTAAGGAAATGTTCCCAACAAAGTCTGTTAAAATAAACAAAGCAGTCAATGAGGGGAAGGAAGTCAAGCAAGGATGCCATAATAGAGTTTGCCAAAGAAACAGAACCAATAAGATATATAGGTATAGATAGATACAGAGAGAGAGAGAGAGAGACGGAGAAGTAGGAAGATTTATCGGAGGGGAATTGGTAAGTGCTCTTACAGAAGATGAGAAGTCTTATGATCTGCTATCTGTAAGCTGAGGACCAAGGACAGCCAATGACACAGACCAAGTCCAAAGGTCTGAGAACCAGGAGAGCTGAGGGTGTGATACATGTCCAAGGGCAAAGACCAATGTCCCCATTCAAACAGGCAGGCAGGAAGCAAAAGGGGAAAATCCTTCTTCCTCTGTATCTTTTTTCTCTCCATACTCTCAAAGGATTTGATGATTCCCCACCCACAGCCTGGGAGGGCCATCTGCTTTACACCGTCTACAAATTCAAATGCTAGTCTTATTCAGAAACATCCTCACAGACACACACCAAATAATACCAAATATCTGGGCACCCCGTGTCCTAGTCAAGTCAACACAGGAAACCATCACAGACGCCAGCTCAGGTGAAGCCCCACAGATGCCAGCTCTAGCTTGATCCTGTGGGGTGCTCCGGAGCACATGCTTATTATGCCACAGAGTTCTCTCAGCCAGAGAAAGGAATCCAGTCACCAGACCTGTCAATCATTGTTCAAGGACTCTAGAGGACAGGGATAAAATCCCCAAGCACTTCTGGTGTTCTGTGCCTGTGGTTAGCTAAAGGGCAGCCCTCCTGAGATGAACTGCCAAAGAGCTACAGATGCTGGCTGCTGGTGGGATGGGGAATGGAATGGAATCCTGACATCGTCTGCGCCCGTGGGTTTAAGGCAGTGGCTACTTACCAGATGGTTCATAAGGGCTTGAACATTTTAACCATCATTACAGCCAAACCAGGTCTGACAGCTGAATGTCACATAATGTCACATGAATATGAGGCATAAACTACAGAACAAGACAAGCCAAACAGTGATCCCATCTCTTTGCCCAACTAGCTGGAGAATGGTAAAAAGTCACAGCCAGCTGGGCATGGTGGCACACACCTATCTATAATCCCAGGAGCTCAGGAGGCTGAGGCAGGAGGATCGTGAGTTTAAAGCCAGCCTCAGAAAAAGCAAGGTGCTAAGCAACTGAGCGAGACCTTGTCACTAAATAAAATATAAAATAGGGCTGGGGATGTGGTTCCATCGTTGAGTGCCCCTGAGTTCAATCCTTATACCTAAAAAAAAAAAAAAAAAAAAAAAAATCACAGCCATCCCAAGGCATTAGTTTCCCTCACTATAAAACCAAGGGTTGAAGGTAGATGATTTATTTAATCTCCAATCTTCTGTAGATAATTCCCCTCTAATTACACTGAAAATTATCTTCATTGTGTCAAGTTCATGCCTAGATTTTGATATTCAAAGGGAAATGAGGCACATAGTGGACCCTTGGCTTTCCTTGTTTTTTTTTTTTTTTAGAATCTAGCCTCATTGGGCTGGGTTTGTGGCTCAGTGGTAGAGCGTTTGCCTAGCATGTGCGAGGCACTGGTCCAATTCTCAGCACCGTATATAAATAAATAAATAAGTTAATAAATAAATAGAATAAAGGTCCATTGACAATTAAAAGAAGAAGAAGAAGAATCTAGCCTAACCTTCCTATTCCCTGATCTCTATTTAGGGAATAGAGATCCCCATATGTAACATATAATGATACAGCCAAAAAGAAAATAGAAAATCAGCATGCAATTTTTCTGTAATTCTGAGACTTTATGCACAAGAACCAAAATACATAACTGTTCATGCAAGAAATTTTATACAAATATTGATAAAACACTCTTCCATGTACCTTTTCTTGGTCCAGTTCTTTAACTTCCTGACAATAGTTTGTTTAATTATGTGCAATGACTTTGTTTCTAAGCATAAGATTGAGTTTCCCATCACTGTTGTTTTGGAATGTGGAATTTTTTTCTTTTGCTCCTTGTAAATGGAATAACTTAATAACCACAAGGTCAGAAGCTAAAGCAGCTAAAAATCAATGCCCTAAGTGGTTCCCCATCCCTTCTCATTCTCATCAGGATCCAATGAAAATACTCCAAGCAAATGAGAACTTATTTGCTTTGAAGACATGCAACAAAGATACCGTGAAAGAAAGGAAAAAAAAATGATATGAGTATTCCCAGCAAGGGAGAAATTTCTGTTTATACTTCGTTATGATTTATAAGAGATGAATTCATTATCACCCAAGACATCCTGAGTCAGAAATTCAGGCAACTGATTATTGTGTAAAATCAAAATGATAGCATCCTTGGAGAGACAGTTGCCTGGTAACTCAGACCAGAAGGTGGTCTTTAGATTTCTCTTGGATCATGTGTATCTATTTTGGTTTTTCTGTTGAGCTCATTTTCTTCCCTATGATCCAAAAACTGAACACTTTTTGGAGAAAATTTTTACGCAGAAGAAAGCTTTTTTTCCTCCAGAAGATATTTTTATTAGGAAGTGCAGCTGTCTCCATGCAGTTGAATCACTCTATTTTCAGGGCTATTGAAGGAACATAGAAGAAAGGGGTAGTGGGGAAGCCAGCGGAGGGGAGATTTCAGATGGAGAAGTATGTTTTGAAACTGAAAGCCAGACACTGGCTTTCTAAGAAAAGAAACTGGCTCAGCATCTCACATAAGATCAAAGTATAGCTTCCTCAGATAAGAAGCTCTATGACAGCCGGGCCAATGGCACGCACCTGTAATCCCAGTGGCTCAGGAGACTGAGGCAGGAGGATCATGAGTTCAAGGCCATCCTCAACAACAGTGAAATGCTAAGCAACTCAGTGAGACCCTGTCTTTAAATAAAAAACAAAATAGAGCTGGGGATGTGGCTTAGTGGTCAAGTGCTCCCAAGCTCAATCTCCAGTAGAAGAAGAAGAAAGAGGAGGAGAAGGGAGAGGAGGAGAAGGGAGAGGAGGAGGAGGAGGAGGAGGAGGAGGAGGAGGAGGTCGAGGAGGAGGTCGTCTATGACTTCTCACCCCTTCACTGGAGCAAGAAAAGCTGAGCAAGTAGGCTCCTCCTTACTAGAATCAGAAGCCCTGAGTCTACACTCTTCTGAATTAGTTGTCTAGTCCCAGATGTTTTCTTTTTTTCCCCAGAAAGTTAGTTAACTCTGTCACTTCTGATTCTACAAGCAGGAGAACTTGAGTATCCTCTCAAGTTTTATTATGCAAAAGAAGATTTGCTGAAGACTTGGGGCCTTTGCAAAAGGCTAGCCAGCCAAATAACTTGGAAATGCATAGGAACCAAGGCTTTAGAAGTTAAGAAACAGGGATGGGCTTTGCTATGCCAGCTGCTCAGAGGCTGAGGCAGGAGGATCACAAAGCTCAAGGTCGGCCTGGCCAATTTAGCAAGAAATAACATATAAAAAGGGGAGCTTTGAGAGGTAGAGGAGGAGGAAGAGCAGAAGAGAAAGGAGAAGAGGCAGGAAGAACAGAAAAATTCAGGAGGAGTCTGTGCTGAAATCAATGAATTTTAATGAACCATTCTTTGTATCACTCCTGAAAGATTCATAATCCCAGGAGAGAGTGTCAAATTGGCTGAGATGAGGTCACATGCCTGGGCCTGCTGTACCTGGGCAGTAAGAGGAAGGATCTAATGCCAGCAGTCTCCAGGAACCCCTACAGCTTCCACGATGCAAAGGCAGGTACCTAGATTTACAGTCACATCAAGACTGTCTACAATGGACAGGGGAGTTATTATTCAAAAAGAAATTCATGCTTCTGTTTTTTTTCACTGATATGATTTTGAGTTTCTGTTTTCATGGGAGACTGGCTGAAATACTAATTGTGTTTGTTGTAATTATTTACAAAAAAATAATGCTTTGCTGTCTTGTTTACTGCTGACTTATCCCAATCCTTGCCCTATGTATGCCTTGTCTGGTCACCTGCCTTCTACCTCTGTGGACCTCTGGACTGCTCTGATGCCAAACACTCTTAACGGTCCACACCTCACATGATAGAGAACAAGAACTTTGGGTTACTTCCCCCAACTTTGTCCTCTTTCAGCAGGAAGCAGCTTGGAGATGTCATTGCCCATTTTCCCATAGAAATGGAATGTAGAAATTAACAGTGGGGAAATGTAACAGGGATCTACTTTACGTTTTGTTTGTCCCCTCAAAGGGGAAACCTCTGGTGTCATTCACACTCTAGAACTTTCCAGGCCGGGAAACCCCATCTTTCTTTAGCCTCTTTCCCTGCTCTGTTCTGCTTCCCTCACCTCTTTACAGATTTTTCCTGAAAGCACAATGTCAACATGTCTTTAGGACAAGAATCCCTGCCTCAGTTTCTGCTCTGAGAATTCAACCTAAAACAATGATGAACACTGGGTATTTTTTGGCCGTCTAACATTATTCTCTTACTAATAGCATGAGTTACTTTTCTTTTTTTTACTTTTTGAGAGAAAGAAAGAAGAAGGTTTATTGCTTTGCTAGCAAAGGAGAAACACAGGAAACTCCTGTCCCAGAGGCTGTGATTCTGCCCATCAGCAGGAACAGGGGGCTTTTAAACAGGTGATTCAAAGGCGACCTCCATGTGTTCTCTGTCAGAGTTGTAATTCACTTGTTAATTGGGGAGATAGTAATTTCTGAGATTTTCTGGTACCATCTTCAAAGTCTGAATTAGTACCCTTCCCATGGTGGGTGTGTACTCAAGCACAGATAAATATGCCTAAATTGTGGAAGAAAGGTAATATTGTTTCCCCTGAGATTAGGGCAGAGGAAGAGATCAGGGAGGACCAGGGAGAGAGGAATAGAAAGAAACATGTCCATTTTAAAAATAAGTTGCAGTGGCAGAGTCTAAAGGAAAAAGGGTTCTAGGAAGCAGATTACCAAAAGAACTCACAGACTTTCTAATGCATTTGATGAAATGCACCAGAAAAAAAAGCAATATTGAAGAAGTTTCATAGACATAATGGGCAAGTTGGAAATAACTAGTAATATACACACAGAAAATGAGGCAAAGGAAAAAGAAGCTATCATTAACTCCAAGAAAACCAAAATGATATATAAGAAAGGGAGTATTATTATGATTAACAACACTTACAACATGGATAAACAATGTTTATCCATGTTGTAAGTTATTTAATATATTATGGTTAGAAACTTTAAATATACCATTTTGCACCTCATAATGACTTTTTTTTTGAGAGAGAGAGAGAGAGAGAGTCTCATTAATTTCCCTAGAGCCTCTCTAATTGCTTAGGCTGGTTTTGAACTTGAGATCCCCCTGCCTCAGCCTCCTGAGTCACTGAGATTACAGGTGTGCACTATTGCGCCCAGCTTTGTAATGACATTTTGGTCAACAACAGACCATATATAGGACAGTGGTCCCATAAAATTATAATGGAACTGAAAATTTTCCATGGCCTACTATTCTTACTTTACTTTTTCTGTGTTTAGATACACAAATACTTGCCATTGTGTTACAATTGCCTATGATATTCTGCAAAGTAACACGTTGTAGGGTAGGCCATATCTAGGCTACCATCTAGGTTTGTATAAGCACATTCTGAGAAGTTCACGAAATGATAAAATTGCCTAATGATTCTTTTACCAGATTGTATTTTCATTGTTAAATAGTACCTGACTTTATAATATGGAAAAGGAAGGCTATCAAATAAAATTTGATTCTTTTTAAATTTTTTTTTAGTTGTAGATGGACCCAATACCTTTATTTTATTTATTTATTTTTATATAGTGCTGAGCATCAAACCCAGGACCTCACACGTGCTCGACAAGCATTCTACCACTGAGCCACAACCCCAGCCCTTGAAAATTTGATTCTTATCTTCCGTAATGAGAGAGTGTGCTAGGTATTTACCTGTTGGCTCTCAAATTCATTCCCTGTCTTTTCCCTCCTGGGATCCTATTGCTCGCGGCTACTTCTATAAAATTTACTTCCCAGACCCTGATGACTAGATTTGGGTGAGTTCAGCCAATGGGATGTAGTCAGTGAAGACTGGAGAATTGGAGTGAAGGACAAACCAGGAGATTCTCTGTCCTGCTCTGCCTTGGGTAACTGCTTCTCCTCTATGGCTCCCGATTTTCTGGTCCTGCCAAGCCATCCCACCTGGGCTGTGGAGGTGGTTGTGGCTTCCTGCAATTTCTAATCCGAGGGTTGCCTCACCTCCCCCTGGTTAGCCTTCTAAGATCTTGTGACCCAGGGGTTCTAAACTTCAACACTATTGACATTTTGGGTTGGATAATTTGTTGGGGTTGGAGGGTGTAACCATGTATTATGAGATGATTGGCAGCATCCCTAAATAGACTTCACCCATGAGATATCAATAGGTCACCCAGTTGTGACGACTTTGTCTCTAGATATTACCAAATGTTCCTTGGATGGCAAAAGCACCCTCGTGAAAAGTATAGTTTCAACCTGTTAATAACTTATAGTAATTTAAGTAATCTGATGAGAGTTTTACTTCTAACTTGAAGTTGATTGATTCACAAGGTTATAAACAATATCTAAGTTTGATAAATAAGAAATTAATATAGTAAGCATATTATTTAGAAATATGTAACTAATAAAAGAAATAATAGACACAAGTATTGAATGCCATTGCTCCTAAAGAGTAGGATTAGAGGGCAAGGAAAGGTGCACTTGAGCTTTTGATGTTATTTTGTTTTTTTTTAAATTTACGTGTATATCACTCATAAAAATAAAATATTAGGAAAAGAAAACATGGACTATTATACATCTTATTACTAAATAGAAAGTTCCCAGGATAGGCTCACAATTTTTATTCTCAGAAGAGATTAAAGAAGTGTTTATTCAGGGGCTGGGACCGTGGCTCAGAGTTAAAGTGCTCAACTAACACGCATGAGGCACTGGGTTCGATTCTGAGCCCTACATAAATATAAAATAAAGATATTGTGTCCACCTATAACTAAAAAATAAATATTATAAAAGAAGTGTTTATTCAGATTTTTTCTTAATCCCCTCTAAGTCATATTCTCTTTTTTTTATATATATATTTATTTTTTAGTTCTCGGCGGACACAACATCTTTGTTGGTATGTGGTGCTGAGGATCGAACCCGGGCCGCACGCATGCCAGACGAGCGCGCTGCCGCTTGGGCCACATCCCCAGCCCCCATATTCTCTTATATTTGACTCACAAGAGAGTTTGGCAGGCATCTAGGTTGATTGACATTTATTCATGTTCCAAAATAAAACCAGACTTTTGTAAAGTGGTTATACCATTTTACATTCCCACTAACAGTGTGTGAGCCTGTTTGCATCCATTTTATAACCTTGCTAACTCATCTGTACCTATTTCTTTTTTTGTTGTTGTTTTGTTTTGTTTTTTATTTTATTTTTTTTTTGTAGTTGTAGATGGACAACATGCCTTTATTTTATTTGTTTATTTTTTATGTGGTGCTGAGGATCAAACCCAGTGCCTCACACTTGCCAGGCAAGCACTCGGCCACTGAGCTACAACCCCAGCCCTGTACCTGTTTCTTTCTTTATTTATTTTGCAATGCTGAGGACAGCAAACCCAGGATGTTGCACATGATAGAAACATACTCTACCACTGAGTCTTTTTTTTTAAATACTAGGAATTGGACCCAGGGACGTTCTACCACTGAGCTACATCCCCATCTCTTCATTTTTTTTGTTTGAGACAGGGTCTCATTAAATTTCCCAGACTGGCCTTAAATTTGTGATCCTCCTGCCTCAATCTTCTGAGTTTCTGAGATTATAGGCATGGGCCACCACTCCTGGCACTTTTTAATTATAGTCTTCCTGTGGTTTTATGTTCCCTCATGGAAAATGATATCGAGCCTCTTTTCCTATGCTTAGTTTCTATTCATATATCCTCCCCCAATTGTTTTTTATGTTTTCTTTATCATACCTATATATTCTATGCCATTTGATTGTTTTATTATTTCAGCAGAGCCACAGCTTCTTATCCTTCATGTGTTTTAATATCTGGTAGGACTGTTCCCTGAACTTCATCCTCTTCACAATTCCTATGTTTTCTGAAATATCTTAGATATTCATTCTCTCTCTCTCTCTCTCTCTCTCTCTCTTTCTCTTTTTGGTACCGGGGATTGAACTCAGGGACACTTGACCACTGAGCTACATCCCCAGCCCTGTTTTGTATTATTATTATTTTTTTTTTTTTGAGAGAGAATTTTTTTAATATTTATTATTTATTTTTTTTTTTTTAGTTATCGGTGGACACAACATCGTTGTTTGTATGTGGTACTGAGGATCGAACCCGGGCCGCACGCACGCCAGACGAGCGCGCTACCGCTTGAGCCACATCCCCAGCCCACCTGTTTTGTATTTTATTTAGAGACAGGGTCTCACTGAGTTGCTTAGTGCCTCACTCTCTGAGATTGACTTTGAATTTGAGATTCTCCTGCCTCAGCCTTCTAAGCTGATGGGATTACAGGCATGTACCACCACACCCAGCAGATATTGGAACCAATTAGAACTTTAGAAATGGTCACCTTGCCATTTTAATAAAACAGAGACATTATTGTTTATAATCATTCCTTATTTACTCCTTATAGTATTGGGATATAGTTCTTATTAATAGGATGCAGAACGTACTACCCCAAAATATGTCCCCTTGACATATTTTAATGAATACCACTCTCTGACCCTCTCTTCAGAGGCCTTGAAAGCTTCACACAACAGGTATCCGATTTATCCCAGGATGGAAAGAATGTCACAGAGAAACCAAGAAGAATCTGAACAAAAGATGGATGAGGAAAAATTATAACTTTTTCTCCTTATAATACACACCCTATAAATATCCAGCAGCGATTTCTACTGGAAATGGTGTGCTTGTCACTTGTGGTTTTGATAAAATATTGTTGCATTAAAATTCAAAAAGTAGCTGGGTACAGTGGCATGCACCTATAACCTCAGCTACTCTGGAGGCTGAGGTAGGAGATCACAAGCTTAAAGTCAGCCAGGGTGGTCTGGGTTTGGGCTCAGTGGTAGAATACTTGCCTAATACTCATGAGGCACTGGGTTCAATCCTCAGCACCACATAAACAAATTAAATAAACAAAATAAAGGTATTGTGTCCATCTACAACTAAAAAAAAAAAAAATGAAAAATGAAAAAAAAAAGTCAGCCAGGGTAATTTTTTTTTTTTTTGTACCAGGGATTAAACTTAGGGACATCGACCACTGTGCCACGTCCCAAGGCTTATTTTGTATTTTATTTAAGGACAGGGTCTCACTGAGTTGCTTAGCACCTTGCTTTTGCTGAGGCTAGCTTTGAACTTGCAATCCTCCTGTCTCAGCCTTCTCAGCTCCCGGGATTACAGGCATGCACCACTGTGCCTGTACTATTTTGTAAAACCCTTTCTCAAAATAAAATAAAAAGATGTAGGAATGCAGTTCAGTGGTAGAGCACTTGTCTCACATGCACGAAGTCCTGGGTTCACTCTCCATATCTTACTCACACACACATAAATTAGAAAAGCAGTTAGTTGATACACAGAAAAGATTTGACTTGAGACAATGTCATGGGATAATCCTTGATTTGATTTGTGGTAGAAGGTTTAATCTAACTATTTCTCCCAGTTTTCCTCTTGCTTAGGTAATTGCTTACTAAAGCTAGTCTCTTTGCTTTGATTTCAATTTTTGTAGCATTCAATTAATCTCAATAATTGGGATTCTCCATGGAAACCGTGGAGCAAGATACTTACAACACCTTCCAAAAAACATAAAAATAATACTCTCCTTTTATTTGTTGCCTGGCAACAATACTTTTGTTTTTGTTCACAGGGAAATTTCAGAGATGTTTGCTGATCAGCATAGCGTTGGCTGGGAAAGGAAAAGAAAAAAATTTTTTTCAACACTCAAAAATATATAGGGCAGGGCTGGGGTTGTAGCTCAGTGGTAGAGTGCTCACTTCACACGTGGAAGGCACTGGGTTCGATCCTCAGCACCACATAAAAACAAAATAAAGGTATTGTATCCATCTACAACAACAAAAAAAAATATTTTTAAAAATGTATAGGGCAGTTTAAACTTTTTGCTTTTAAATACCCATATGGGGTCTTCATTACGGTAAAGAGCATAAAGCATATACAGTATAATGACAGAATAAGACAGATCAGAAAGGAGACTTCATCAAGGATCTTCAGGGATACACTAAATGAAACTATTGGGGCTCTTGAGGGGCATGAGTCCAAATTGCATTTATCAGCCTCAATAGCAGGACTGAACCTAAATTTCATGTTATTTTCCATCTCAAGTGATCCCTATAGCACATACTATTTTTGTCTTACATTTTTTTTCTTCCTTTTCCACCATTACTGTGGCTTATTATGAGTAGAGTACGCTTCTCCACCATATTCCCTCCGGGCTTGGTCAATAGAATT